AGAAAGAAAGAAAGAAAGAAAGAAAGAAAGAAAGAAAGAAAGAAAGAAAGAAAGAAAGAAAGAAAGAAAGAAAGAAAGAAAGAGACCGGGAATCCAGCATGATGCAATTCAGTGGTGAGAATTACAGCAGTTCGCTTACTGACCATCCAAAGTTACGACAGCACTGAAAAAAGTGACTTATGACCGTTTTTCACACTGAATGCCTGTTGCAGCATCTCTGTGGTCATGCGATTTACATCCGGATTTGAGCCTTAAGTGTGATCATAAGCAGTGATGGGATTCAAATAATTTAACAACCGGTTCTCTCGTAATGACTGGGTGGGTGGGTGGGCGTGGCCGTGGGGGTGTGGCCAGGAGTGTGACAGGCAGCACTCGGCCTGCACTCCCCCCGGGAGCAAAAATGGGTCGTGGTGGGGGCGATGCCGCACCCCCCCCCCACGCCCCGTTTTAGGCCTAGTGAGCCTTCCTGCAGTCCCCTGGGCACAAAAATGGGCCTCGGGGGGGAGGGGCACCATGCACAAACCCCGCACCCCGTTTTGGCCTAGTAGGCCTCCCCGCACTTACCTGGGAGCCAAAATGGGGTGTTGAGGGGACTTCTGGAAGGGGAAGGGAGGGGAGGGGAAGGGCCAGCCAGCAATTTAACAACTGGTTCGGCCGAAGTGGTGCGAACCGGTTAAATCCCACCGCTGGTCATAAGTCCGAGGACACATGGTTGAGAGGAATGCTGCCTTATAAACCAAGGGGATATTTATGCATTTCAAGGAATGCAAGGCAAAATTATGCATACATAAATCTGCATAAATCGTAGACCTCGGGTTACTTCCTGCCCTCCTGCCCCCCTTCCAGAGGACAATTGGCTTAGTGAGAAGTCAAATGGACGTCTTCAAAATTCAGCAATTGCCATGGAAATGTCTGAATAGGACTTCCCACGGGCTGCTGGGAGCCGAGCGAGGCGCGTGAGGCTGTATTCCTTGTGTTTCCGTTTGTCTAAGATTGTGCCGTTCATCGGAAGGCCCGTTTAGGCCACACGTTAAAAAGAGAAATTTGGGAGAAATTTTGCAGCCGTTCCAAGTAGGTCCTGTCAGGAAATGCTGGTTTATTGTTATAGAACCAGGGAATCTTGAAATCTTGGCAAGGAAGTCCCTTGCCCTGCCAGGCTTAATCCTTGTTTGTTTGTCTTCGCTGGATGAGACTTGTTTCTCCCTTTGATCAGGCAGAATTTATTTGTTTGGAACATGTGTTTCCTTCCCATTTTGGCTTTTTCTTTTTATTAAACATTAATTAGAAAAATCTTCCTTCCTTCCTTCCTTCCTTCCTTCCTTCCTTCCTTCCTTCCCTCTCTCCCCTCCCTCCCTAATTTTTCTTTTTTAAATTCTCTCCTCCCTCCCTCTCTTAATATTTCCTTTTTAAAATTATCTCCTTTTCTTTCTTCCTCCCTCCCTAATTTTTCTTTTTTTAAATTCTCTCCTCCCTCCCTCTTTAATTTTTTTCTTTTTTAAATTCTCTCCTTCCTTCCTCCCTCCCTACTTAATATTTCCTTTTTAAAATTCCCTTTCTTTCTTCCTTTCTCCCTTCCTCCCTAAATTTTTTTTTAAATTCTCTCCTTCCTTCTTTTCCTCCTTTCCACCCCCCCTCCTTACTTTTTTCTTTTTAAAATTCTCTCCTTCCTTCCTTCTTTTTCTCCTTTCCACCCTCCCTCCTTACTTTTTTCTTTTTAAAATTCTCTCCTTCCTTTCTTCCTTCCTCCCTCCCTTCCTTATTTTTCTTCTTTAAATTTTCTCCTTCTTTCCCCCCTTTCCTCCCTCCCTCTTTAATTTTTTTATTTTTAAAATTCCCTTCCTTCCTCCTTCCCTCCCTCCCCCTCTCTTTAATTTTTCCTCTTTTTTTAAATTCTCCTTCCATTTCTTCCTAGCTGCCCAGGGTTGTACCCTGAATCTCCCCGTTGGCTCTTGGCCACCCGTCGAACAGCTCAGGCCAAGGATGTCCTGTTAGCCCTGTGCCAAAATGGCAACGCCCAAGAACTCGAGGCCCGGGAGGCCCTGAATGGTGAGTATTGCAGCTTCCCCCCCAAAAAAACCTGTCATTCCAGTTGGTTGACTTGGCAGTACAGCATTACCATAGCACAGCGTGTTGAGTTTTAAACTGAGATCCTTTTAGCACACTCAGGATAAGGGAACGCTTTGTAATTGCTTGTTTGTGAGTCAAGATAAGACGTGTGGACTTCAACTCCCAGAATTCCCATAGCGGGTTTTGGGGCCTTCAGGACAGTGTTTTCCAGCTGTGGCCCCTTTTAAGATGGGTGGACTTCAACTCCCAGAATTCTCCAGCCAACTGGCTGGGGAATTCTGGGAATTGAAGTCCACACATCTTTAAACTGCTGAAATTGAGAAACCCTGCTGTATAGGTCCTCTCTGTCATTGTGCATCCTGACACAAGGTTGTGTCAAGTATGGTGTGATAACATCTCCACTCTTTGCCCTCCCTCCCTCCCTCCCTTCCTTCCTTCCTTCCTCCACAATCTGATCCGGTCCCTCCCACCAACCCTGCAGAGCTGGACAACGCTTGTCATCTGCCTGCAGCTGCCCAGATCTCACTCCGCAGCCTCCTGTCCTGCAGGAACATCTGGAAAAACATTCTGATCCTTGGTTTTACCACGTAAGTTGAACTTCGTATGTTACTAGATCTTATGGAGGTCCATGAATAGAGGGCAGGGGTAGGATTCTCTATAGCAGGGATTCCCAACCTTTTCGACGCCGCGGCCCGGTTCCGGCGTCAGCTGGGCGCCGCGGCCCGGTTCCGGCGTCAGCTGGC